AGGTTTTACAATGGCTGCGTTCAGCAGACTCAACAGTTATAATTGAACAAATAGGTAGCAACCTGGATCTGCTGGACGGAAGTTGGTGGTGCTGGAAGTAGCTTCCTTTCACGTGTTCTCTTTTGTTTGAAGTTAAGGAGGATGCACACATGCGGCGCGGCAAGGAAAAGCGGTGTCTCAACGCATCTTCGTCGCGCAGCAGCACAACTACACAAGCGGAAATCCGCTTACATTTCGGCGCATGCGTTCAGTACTCAAGATGGCGAATGATACCGACACTGCTGCTATCCACGTGTTTACAAATTTTGCTTTGTACGGCTTGGTTTATTTAGCTAGAAGATTTTAAAGAAGATCTGACACCTAGCGTTGTTAGCGCGAACTACATAATGGCGGCTACTATGGGTATAAAGTCTGCGGTCTGTTAGAATTAGAAAGTGTTCAACCTACAATGGTAAATATATATTGCTGTGTATTTGGGTGTAAGTCTAAAGGTTCATCAAACTCAGTACAGTACAGTACATATACATATATTCCCAAAAGATAAATTACTGCGAAAAAAGTGGAAAATAAAATTGAAGTTCAGTTTCACCAACATCTAATTTTGATGAACTTAAAGTTCTTTTATTTTTACAAACGTTTTCAATCTATCTAATATAGACCATTCTCGAATTTTTATAAGAAAAAGAGCACCCAATATCTATAGCTTGCTACGGAACGATAAAGTCAGCGTAAAAAAAGGAAGAGAAAGCTGGGGTATATAAAATACCATTTGAAAATCAAACGTTAGGAATCGAAAAATATTATGTGGATGTGACTAGAAGAAACCTGGCGGTACGTCTGCGAGAACATATATACAATGCTGACAAACGACACAAAATATTAGCGATTATGGCGCAGACCGAAGGAGCAGTTGTAAAATGGGATGAGGCGAAAGTCATTAAAACGGCGCACTCTCCATCTATTGCGTTGGAGATGGAAAAGGTGAATATTTATAAAAGTAAAATGAAAAACCGTTGCCTAAATGCTAGGGATGCTAATGCGCTTCCAACAGCATGGAAATATATGATAGAAAAAAGAATGGGACTTAAAATCCTTAAATAATGTTTTTCTTGTTAGCAATCGAGGCAATAGATTATGTGGATTATATACGTTAAGAGTTTCAATATTATCATCATAAGCCGATAATACTTTTGGTTTGATAAAATTAGAGGCTAATAATTTAATAAAACGAACACTTTCAAACATCGTTGATCTATTATACGATCTATACATGTTGATAATGTTAGCACATCGTGTTAAGCTGTGACTTTTTCATGTAATTTTGGAATTCAGATAGTATTGATTGTCACTTTGGCTTTGAGAAAAATATGTATATAAACTTATTCAGAAACTTTTGAGAAAATATGTATATAAACTTTTGAGAAAAATATGTATATAAACTTATTTCAATATTAGATGGTATCTCATCAGTAGCACTAACAGCTACTAGGTTCACACTATAACAAACGCAGGAATTTATTATTACATTATTATTATTGGCTAACAAGTGGGTTTTAAAAGATTCTTTGTCTTCCATCATTACATTTGCATTGTCTGAACAATATCATACAATTTAACATTCGTTTATCTGATATTCTTGCAAAACTTTCTTAAATAAAGAATATAAACTTTTTGCTGTACCACTATCAGAATCAACACAAATAATATCTAAAAAATTTGATTTTACCTGATTATTAAAAATATATTTGACAAGAATACATAGTAAACGTTGATTGGAAATATCTGTGCTTTCGTCTAACAGAACGGAATTTTTTTTTTTATTTTGCAACTTATTTTTTAAATTTTCACTTATAGTGGCAACAAAAACGTTTTCAACTAAACTCGTACATTTTGTTTTAATTTCATTTGCTTAGCTGTGTCAGAATCATCAAAACAAATTTTACCAACTTCGACAATGTGATTGATAGATCGGAAACTGAAATTATGTGAAGCAACTACCGTGTTTCCCCGAAAATAAGACAGTGTCTTATATTAATTTTTGCTCTGAAAAATGCGCTAGGTCTTATTTTCAGGGAATGTCTTATTTTTTCCAGGAAGAATTCACATTTATTATTGAACAAAAAATTTCCCAAGTCGAACTTAGACGAGAGTGACGTATATCCGGTGTGTCGAACTATCGCCTTTTTATAGCGTCAACATCGGACTCGATGACCAATTAGTGCTTACTGAACCGTAGCACTATGCAAATGTCATGTGGCATGATTCCCGGCCGACCAATTAGCCATCACCAGCCGTAACGTTATGCAAATCTGTGATTCCCAAGCCACAGTCTTATGCAAATCATGCCGTGTGGCCTAATTGTCTGCAGACCAATCAGTGGCTGTACTTTCAAAAAGCCAACGGCCACTTTCAACCATCTGTCGATGACCGTTACGACTAAAAAAACTTCGCTAGGTCTTACTTTCAGGGGAGATCTTATATTTCGCAATTCAGCAAAATTTGTGCTAGGTCTTATTTTCTGCGGATGTCTTATTTTCGGGGAAACACGGTAATAGAGTACCGTAATTCTGCAATAACCTTTTTCGAAGATTTATTTAAAAAATTACTGAGAAATATCTGTGCTTTGAGCAATAGCGGATGCATTTCGTTGGTGCTTATTAATTTTACAATGTTTCATTAAATCGGATTTTTTTGAATTTAGAATTACATTACAAAATTTACATTTACCATCTTCTGATTCTGCTAGCCATTTAAAAATTTGTGCGTCTTCCATCAACTTTTTCGTGAATTTCTTCTTTCTGTACTTGCTTGTTGCCTGTTCAGAATTTCCCAATTTAGCCTTTTTAGTCTGTTGACTAAGTTCCTCGTCTGATGAAGTGTCACTTTTCACTTTTTCTATATCATCTTTCGCATTGCTAGGATCAGGTTGCGGTTTTGAACTAACGTTTTTGCAGAAAAATGTCAATAACATTGACTTTTTACTGGGTTTATCCATTTGAACTGAAGTAATATTGAATATGTTTTATTAAACAGTTTAAAGATCAGTTACTAAATGAAAATCACTTTTTTACACTTGACGTTGCTATTTCAGCAGAATTATAATAAAAAAATAACACTTGAAAAAATAAAAGAAAATATTACATAGGTATACCAGTGTCGGATCAAGTCAAGTGGGGCCCCAAGCGGTAAAAATTTGGGGCCCTCTAACTTAAGTTAGGAAAAAAAGTTTCAAGATAACTCTCATTAAGTTATTAACATAAAAGAAAAGTAATCAAAAATTTCATACCTAACACATTAAATAAATTTATTTTAAAAAAACATATTTTTTACATGAATTGTCGTCTTGTTTTACGGCCCACCAGTGGCCAAGCGGTTCCGTTCATTAAACACTGGGAGTTCGATTGTGGGTTCGCGCCTCAGCGAGGAGGAGTTTATGAGAGATATGGAGTTTTTCGGATGAGTAAAGGTCAGTTACTCTTTTTTTTCCAACTCTTTCCTCCGTGTGAGCACTAAGAGGGTCTCTTTTTGCAAGCCCATTATGGGTTCGGCCAGGCCCACAATGGGGCTGCCGGGTGGTGAGGGACGGGGCCAGCCAGTTACCCTTAATTAAAAAGACTCCGGAAAGCATTTCCCCTAGGCAGATCGTCCAAGTGTTGAGTTGCTGTAACTTAACTAAACAAACCGTCTTCTTTTATTTTGTGTAAATTCGTCCATTATTTTGGCAGTATCAATTCGATTAAAAATTTCCTGCTCTATATACAGAATGGCCATATTATTTAATCGTTCGTCTCCCATAGTACTCCTTAAATAATTTTTACCCGCTTTAAAACAGAAAATGACCTTTCTGCTGACGCATTAGATGAGGGAATTGTTTTAAAAATTTTCAATAATATTTCAACATTCGAAAATGTGCAAGACCATTTTTTTTTGGTTCAGACAATGCAACTGAGGTACACTACATATGCGTACGACTATAGAGCAGAAAATGATATCATAGAATTACTGCACGCCTTTTATAACCTCGGGACTAAGATTTTATTCTGGAGTTTCCATGTTTTCAATTTAGCAATTTGAAAAATTTTCCTGGCAAATTAATTTTTGTTACAAAATGTTACTTTTACAGATTTCTAGCTCTGCACACTGTATAAAAATCTAGAAATACAGTTTTGTCTATTAGTCGTTGCCAGAGAGCGCTATAAAGTAAAGAAAAATCTGTAAATTTGAAAACTATAAAAATAAATAGAAAATTTTTAAAAGTCGCCATTTTTGGCTGATTTGTTTGCGGTCGCCGCTACGTTCCTCTAAAAGTCGTAATTGTAGCGACAAGTCGTCACGATTTCTTTGCATCGCAGACATCTTTGATTAGTTACAGCTAGCAAAAGGTAGCGTAAATGAAAGACGCTACCAAATGTGACATCAAACATGTTCCGAAACAGCGCTATTGTAAAGAGCGTTCAGCAGAAAAATACTTAACAGCTCCGGAACTGTTGAGTCTGTTGAACGCAACCAATCACTCATGTTTTATCGTAGACTTAACATTGTACCGTACATTTGCCATTCCACCACGCCTGAACCATTGCATATTTCTCAAATATCGCTTCTGCAGCATTATCTACTGTGTAAGAGCTTTAATTTGATACCAGTACCGTGTTTTCAACTCCAGCCGTTTACTCTAAGTCTGAAAAGCTGAAACCCTCTTTTAATTAATATGTCGATTTTTAAGGATCTCGCTCTATTGTGGGTTGGGCCGAGCCGATGATAGACCTACAAAAAAGAAATTGTAAATTTTGAAGAGAAAAGTTTTGAAATAAATACATAAAAATAAAATAGTACTAAGAGAATAAAAATATATATGCTAAAGTTATTATTATTATGTTTTATTATTAAAATATTATTAATTTTAATACATTGATAAACAAACATGCATTTTTATTTTTATTAAAAAAATAATACAATAATAATTTTTCTTCACAAGAATTGACAACACTGTATTATCTGGAATGAACTAACACGTGCTTACTTAATTGATATTATGTTGCCTTAATTAATGTATTGCACACTGTGTATTTTGTTTACAGAGTAGAAGTAAAAGAAAAATTGTTTGTGTATCAAGCATTTAAGATATCATGTTAACTGATGTAGGTTTATATCTCGATTTAAATACTGTTGAACAATTTTTATTTTTGAAAGCGGAACCAAGTAAGGATGCAGATTTTATAATAAACGAACTTCTAATGCATTTTGTGAAGAATGGACGTTCAGTCGTTCTTTTAAGTACGTCACAAACTTTTCTTCATTATTCAAACGTTGGCTTGAAGCTAGGAATTAATGTTAAACAATTAAGAGAAAACAAACAATTTGTCTGCTTGGATGTTTTAAAATCTTTTTCCGGATGTTTTGAGAGTTTAAATAATACAAAGCCGGAAGATAAAATTGCGTCATGTTTTCTTCAATCAAAACCGACTCTTATATCTGTTTACGAATCGATTAAACAAGCTGTTGAAGATATAATTGAAAATAAGAATGAGTTTCTTTTGATTCTTGATGATGTGATGTTATTTTTAAGTTTTGGTGCATCAGTTGGTGATATCTTGGATCTTGTACATTATTGTAGGTTACTTGTTAAACGTTATGGTGGTTGTCTTCTAGTTTGCAGCTGTGATATTACAGATGATGATGATAATCAACAAATGAATGCAATTTTAACTCATTTATGTGATAAATTAATTGTTATACAGGGATTAAATACAGGTCATAGTCGTGAAATTGATGGAAAGGTATGATTTTTATTTTTTAGAATTTNGCTTGTGTATGGTACCAAGAAAATATAAAAACAGAACTGAGTGTATTTATTTAGTAAATATAATTTTTTTAAAATTATAATATGCATTTGTATAATAAATTTATTTCCAAGACATATTTTGTTTTGATATAAACAAAAGAAATATGATAATTTTTAACAGATTAAGCTTGCTTTTATTTTCTTTCAAAACTTCTCAATAGTAACTAACAGTTGAGTTTAAAAGCCAAAAAGTTAAGAGAATATGCTCATATAAACATGTAAAACCTGATAGTTATATGTTAAAGCCAAACAATTGCCAAATTATATAGGACTATATTACTACTACTATTATTAATTAAATGCTAGGCAATTTGGCACTAGAAGTAGGTGTTAGTCAATATCTCTTGCTAAATTTAATAATTATAATTAAATTAATATTTTAATAATTAATTTAGAAGGTTCTGGAAGAAGAAAATCAGCCCAAAATTACTTAGAATGTAGCCTGATATAATCTGGCAATCATTTGGCGAGAATATGCTCTTAGAAAACATAAAGAATAGCAAATATTAGGATGCTGTTTTTGACTATTAGTTGATTAAAGATGAAGAGAAACCTTTTCTGACATTGCTAATGCTAGGTTTATAAAATAACTCTAAAAATTGTGTGAAAGATGAAATACATTTTATTTAGGATACATTGTAAGACTTTTCCAGAAACATCTAAAGAAAAAAAAATCAAAAACATTAGTCCTCAAAGCCAGAAAAAAACACACCTTTGTTTGAAGAGGCCTTCAGATACAGTGGAATAGGATTTTAATTGTTTTGCCCTATCCAGAATGATGCCGATTAGAATCTTAGAAGAGTTGACAATTGCTATTAATAATTAATAAAAGAAATGAAGGTTCATGTATCTGAGTCTAGACACTGGGAAATTCTCATTACAAATAGCATTTGAACACTTATGTCAGTAACAGAATGTGTTTCTCTTAATTTAGTATTTTATTTAAATATTTAAAACATTGAATTTTTATAATCCCAATCGTTGATGCTAGACCAGGAGTTAACCGCTTACGCTCCTTTTTTTGTAAGACACCTCTTCGAATTTATAAAAGTATTTTATTTAAATATTTAATCCCATTTTGTACGCTGTTTCCAAAACACCATAAGTTTGAGAGCTGTTTGGCTGTTGCATCATTCAGACTAATTTAGTTGTGATTTGATTTGATTTATTGTGCTCTTTTCATAAAGATGTTTTTGTAAATGTAACACATCATATACAAAAACTATAATATTACTTTGCACACCAATTAAGGTAATTCAATCATTTCAAAATACATAGTGTTACTAAAAAAAATGAAAATAGCTACCTACCATCTTTACAATTGTGTATCTCAGCAATATTAATATTGTATTTTAACATGTTTGTTCTGTTACAGATCTCATTTTATTTTGTTACAGTCAGTTCTGTTTTAATTGAGCTTATGGCTTGAAAGAAGTTAGTATTGTGATTATTCAGCAGAAAGACAAGTGAGTGAAATTTAGAAAAATAATTTAAATTAATGAAACTCAGTAAGAATGGTACAGAAATATTGGAAATGTTACAAAATGTATGATGATGAAATCATCACCCAGATGTGTTTATGAATGGCACAAACAGTTCAAAAAAGACAAGATGAGAAGAAAATTAAGACCACTAGCTTCAACAACAGAGGATAATGTTGCAAAATTTTGAATGATTGTATATCACGACTATAAAATGATAATTCAACTAATTGCAGAACAGTTGATATTTAATTGATATTGACAAACAAATTGTAAGACAATTCAAGTAGAGATTGGGCATGAGAAAAATGTACTCTCAAATGATACCACAAATCCTTCCATCAGATTAGAAGCTTAAAAACAGGAAAAACTCATACATCTAAGTTTTTGGATTTCATAATAAACAGGAGATGAATATTTCAATATGATCCATAAATAAAATGACAGAGCATGGAATGACAAACTCTTTCATCTCTATGCATGAAGAAAGTAAGAATGTTGAAAAATAATTGAAGATCAAACCTGTGCTTGTCACTTTCTTTGTAGTGGTGTTTATTGTAAATTTTTTCTGCCAGGTCAGACTGTAAAACAGATACTTAACTTTTCAAAGATTTTGTAAAAAAATTTAAAACACATGACCTGAATTGTGCCAGAGAAATGGTTTTTCCATTGCAACAATGGATCCTGTTGTGATGCAAAACTCAGCAGTGAGAATTTTTAATGCATAGCAAGATTACAGCATTGGAACACATCTTGTTTACTAGTTCTGGTGCCATACAAAGTTTTATTTCCCAAAATTAAGACCAGCCTGGGAAAAAAATGATTAAAAGCTATTCAGGGATGTTGAAACTTCAATGGTCTTGTTCCAATTTATGTAGGGTGATGATGATGGGATGCATCCCATCATCTGTAGGATCTGATGATGGGATCTGATGATGGGATCTGTAGGATCTGATGATGGGATGCATCCCATCATCAGATCCTACATAATCAATTAACAAATCCAAGATTTATTTCATATTAAATCTTGGATTTGTTAATTGATTCTAGCATTATGCTTATAAGCGTTTTTATTGAAGCACAGGAAATATGCAACAGCATTGTGATATTCACGATGCTGTTTGATCAAAGTATTCTTTTTCATTAAATCTGAAAATAATGAATTAACCAGCAAACAGTTACATATTTAGTTTGATTTTCTGTTCCATTTAATTAAAGCACTTATCTGTATCTAAATCTATATATATATATATGGCTGCAGAGTGGAATATAAGCACAAACACGTCCATTTATATATATATATATATAAAAATGGACGTGTTTGTACTTATATTCCACTCTGCAGCCAAAACTACACATCACACATGAATGGTGTTTGTGTGTGGTAGTAGCCCCAAGTCTCCCATCATGCACTATGGTGGTTGCATCTTGATAGCTATAAGGGTGTGGGAGATATGGGGTTTCAAAGTGGTTAACTTCGAAAATGTGTGATGCTTCAATGAGAATGTTGCAGTTTTTTCTAGAAAGTTCCAGAACCTAGAGGTGAAATTTGGTACACAGTTAGGGTATGTCATGAAAATGCACACTAAGAAGGGATTTTTTGAAATTCCCCACGGGGGGAGAGGGAGAGCATTAAGGCTTAACCTGAAGAAGTAACCTAAAATAGTACAGCTTCTACTCTATTATTTTAGATGCAATTTTTTTTTTTGTTTTTAATTACATTTAGTCTTCATTGAGTACTTAGTGGTATTAAATTGATAACATTTCAGACATTGTTATAAATATTTTTTATATATTTTGTTTTTTTAACCAAATGTTCGAACCGTTTTAAATTCGAATTTTTTTTGCATATTAGTTCAATTATAGAATGATTGTAAACGTTCCAGAAAATTTATCAAATTAAAAACAGTTTGTTTGATTCTCAGCAATTCTCATCATTCTCAGCAGTAGGTGTTAAATAACAATTAACACCTACTGCTTGAATATTGAATGTAAATAGGGTTTGCTTGCATATTGGTTGAATATTGAATGTAAATAGGGTTTGCTTGCANTTATATTCTCAGCAATTCTCATCATTCTCAGCAGTAGGTGTTAAATAACAATTAACACCTACTGCTTGAATATTGAATGTAAATAGGGTTTGCTTGCATATTGGTTGAATATTGAATGTAAATAGGGTTTGCTTGCAAGATCAGTGCGAGCAAAGCTGTGGGAAACAGTTAGTATTAATAATATTTTAAAACTAAATAATCTCCATTCTACTAACTTACATATCTTAAAATTCAAGTAAATAGTAATTTGATTAATTGATTTGTTGACACAAAGTACAGTATATTGGCCAGACATTTTACCTATTACAGGGAGACTTGATCCACTATAAGGTTTGCCAGTATATGTGAAAGATGAGAAACAATATCCTGACTCATATTACCTATTATAAATTTTGGGTCCAGACTAAACTCAAACTCAGATCTTTTAAAGCAATAGGTTGACATATTTTCATGCACCTGTCTTATTAGCTTAAATTATGATTTAAATGTATGGGAAAACTGGCATCATTTTTTAAACTATTGAGTTGTTTGGAAAGTAAGTTTGTATTTTTACCACCATAAGAATTAGTTGTATTTTTACCTGCCAATTTCATCCTAAATTGTATTGTAATTATATATTTTGATAGCTGACATTTCAAGGCTTATTTGCAAAAACTTTTGTTTGATTCTTTGCATTTTTTTTTTTTTTGGTCCCATCAAATATGGAAAATCAAAAGCAGAATTTTTGGCATATTTTGCTTTTTTATTATTGAAAAGGTAAAAATGCTGTTCAAGCAAGAAAAAATTGTGTGACGTGTTGATAGAATGAATGATTATGCCAAAACTGGTTTGCAAAATTTTGTTCTGGCAATTTCGATATTGAAGATGCACCATGTTCTGGAAGGCCAGTTGAAGCTGATGAAGACAAAATAAAGGTACTGATTGAAGCAAACTGTTGAATAACATGAGAAATCACTAAGATTAAATTTGTAAAATTCAACCATTTAGATCACTTGAAATGACTTTGTTTCATTTCAGAGCTTGATATATGGGTTCCACATGTTCTTAAAGAAAGAGATTTGCTCTGTCATGTTGACATCTGTGATGCACTTCTCAAATGTCAAGAAAATGATACGTTTTGGAAATGAATCATAACTGATGATGAAAAGTGGATTGTTTATAACAATGTTGAATGCAAGCGAGCATGGAGTAGAAGAGATGAGCTGGCTCAAAGCACTTTGAAAAGCAATATTCGTCAAAAAAAAAGTGATGCTCTGTGGTGGGATTTTAAGGGAACTGTTTTTTTTTGAGCTTCTACCAGAGAATTCCACAATTGATTTGGAAGTATACTGCTGTCGACTGGACAAATTGAGTGATTCCATCAAACAGAAAAGGCCAGAATTGATCAACAGGAAAGGTGTAGTATTTCACCATGATAATGCCAGACCTCACACAAATTTGGTAACTCATCAGAAGCTGTTACAGCTTGGATGGGATGTGCTACCACACCCATCATAGTCACCAGATCTGGTACCCTTGGATTATTACTTGTTCCAGTCTTTACAAAATTTTTAAAAGGACTAAAACATTTACCTCAAATGAGGATGTCAAAAATCACTTGGATCAGTTATTTGTAAGCAAAGATTAGAACTTCTATGAGCATGGAATTGTGCTACTATCAGAAAGATAGTCCCCCCCATGCTTCGGCACCACAGGACCAAAGGGTCAACACCGCATTCGCGACGACTAGTTCATAAGGACTGACAGCACTGTGTCTTTAAGGACAGACACAGAAACCTTGATAGCTGCTAATTTCAATTTTGTGTGCAAGTGGTCACGTAGGCACTTGGATTTGGGATGGAGATGGCCTGAGGGATGAATGGAAGAAGTGTATGCTACTATGAATTTAGCAATTCACAATACCCATTTATTTATATGCAATTTATGCAGTTCTGTACATAGTTAAGTCACTTAGCAAGGTGCTAATTTTATATATCAATTATAGTCCCTAACCAAGAGAGAGTTTACAAATCAGTCATGCGTTGGTAAATACCTTAGTAGAAGTTGGTTCCTTGGGGAATGGTAGAATTGGCAGATTGATGTGCTGCTGTTCCGCCAGATGGTTCAAAAGGTGTTTTGATGAATTGAAGGGGTAGAAATCTTTTTTTGTCTGGGGAAGGGAGAGAATCGGTGACGGCTTGAGCAGTATCTGAAACTGGATCAGGTGCGAACACCAGTTAAAAGTGAACTAACTATGATGGCAAACTACCTCTTTTTTTGTATTCTAGGGTCTCTCATGGGTTTTCCCATGACTTCATTAGGAATTATTGTACAACAGTCCAATTGTTGAATTTCAATTATCAGTTCCAGGTGACACATTTGATATGTCACCTCAAACAAAGAAACAAGTTCATGGAAAAAGTTTTAATCAGCTTCTCTGATTTTTCTGTTTCAAAAAATTTTTGATTAAAAGTTTTTGTCAAGTCTGGGCTTTCACATATAATTCAATAAAATATTTATATATTATAAGAAAATTGTTTTTTTCCCCCATGAAAAAAATGAAATTACTTTCTGAACAACCCAATATACAAATGAAACAACTACCTACAGGAAGCTAAATTTATTTAGTTTGAAAACATTTTTTTGTAATAAATAAATATGGCTTCCTAAAGAGAGCAGTTTCATTTATATATAGTATAAGAGTTTGTAAGTACAGTAAGTGTTGCTCATCCTAATTGCAGTTATTGCTATCAATCATATAATATCATCAGAATCAACATGTCCCAAAACATATAAATTAAATAACATTACAAAACTTCTGTATATTGTAATTGGAAATTCACTTATAATTATCATGTTGCTAATGTTAAGTTTGAATTTACTTACAAGTTAGATGGTTAATAACAGCCAATGGATCTGTATTTTTTTTATAGGCTAGCTGTTTGTTGTTGCTGTTTCTGTTGGAAACATCTTAGACTAATGGAAGAAAAAAAAATAGAAATGCAAAGATTTGTACCTCAAAGATAAGCTTGAAATTTCAGAATTCTATGATAAATTGGCAAAGTTGAGTCAATGCAATGTTTCTGCAGAGTTAAAATTTTCACAGACAGTTTTGTGTAAGATTTTGAAGAACATATTGACGATATGTTTCTCATTACACATTTGAAGAATATTGAAATTCCAGAAGGAAAAAATGAGAACATGATTTGCAAGAGAAATCAAACCAGAAAGATAGCAAGTTGAGTTAACTTTGAAATTTTGGTTTAGTAATGTTTGTAAAAAAAATATATCTGTTAACAGGACATTAATATGTCGTAAAGCAGAAGAATTAGCTAAAAATATGGGAAAGATTTTAATATAACTGACCAGAGGTTTAACTGGTGGAGAAAATGAGAGAATATTGTGTACAAATGCACTCCTGGTGGGGAGAAAAGTTGTGACTACACATCGACAGAATGACCAAAATTATTGCTGAATATTCACTGAGGAATATCTATAATGCAGATGAAATAATATTTTATTTTTATGCAATGCCTGATTGTCTATAAGCTACTTTATTTCACAATAAAATAAAGTAGCCTATAGACAAATAAATTCTACAAATAAAATAATACAGTCTTATTTGTGAAGATTACTTCTTTTCATATTTTTGAAATGCATGCTCTGCTTTGCTTATAAGAGCACTGCACTGCTGTCAATGTAAATTAAATGTGAATATACCTGAAATGAAATTGTTTTTAACCCTCAGACTAGCCTACAAGGGGAATTTGTATAGCAAAACCAGTCAAACAACTTTCCCTTCAGCCAATTTTGTCTCAAATGGATTAAGCTGATTTTGGCTGATTGCATGTTTAAAG